TAGTTTTTTGGTGGCATCCTTAGGATTTCCTATATATAGTTATCATGTCATCTGCAAACATTGACAGGTTTACTTATTTCCCATTTAGAGTCCTTTTATTTCCTTTTCTTGTCTGTGGGTGGGCAGGACTTGATCTCAGCATGGCTGGCTGCCGGGCCAGTCATGAGGTTAGTTTTGACCCCACTGGTGGGTGTGACCAGTTCCTGAGTCAGCTGGCTCTGGGGCCTGGCTGCTGGGCCTGGTGATGGTGTGCTGGCCGGGGAGTAGGGTCCCAGCTTGGCTCGCTGTGTGGCCCAGGGGACCTCGGGTTGGTGCCAGCCTGGTGGTGGTTGTGGCTGGTCCCGGGCAGGTGGTTGTATACCGTGGGTGGGCTGGGCCTGGCACAACTGGCTACACAGTCCCAGAGTAGCTGCTGATGACTCAGGTGATTGTGGCTGGCTAGGTGAGCTGGCTCTGTGGGCTGTGGGATCGTAGGTTTGGCGCCTGCCTACTGTGGTGGTGAGGACTTAGTTCCAGGGTGGCTGGCTGCGAGCCACAGTGATTGCATTTGTTCTTTGTAATTTTTGCCATCTTGCCACTCTTGACTCTATTTTGTCTTTGCTCCCGCTTTGGTCTCCACACTGTGGTGAGTACTGGGAATAAATATGGCAGTGCATACAGTGAATTTAAGCAGTGAGCCAAGATAGGGATATCTGATAATTAGAAATCAAGCAAGAAGGATGGTTCTAGAATCAGAGAATCAGTCTAAAAGGTAAGAACAAATGTACCAGACAAAGCCATTAGGCAGGTCAAAGTTAGGACTACACAAATCATGAGAATCAGAGCCTATAGCAGGAGACAAACCTAGGAGATGATGACTAGAATAAGAACAGTATATAAGCTGGAAGGCTCACAGTGCTGTTGGTCAGAGCCCAAACAGATAACGCTTTACTGACTACATGTCTGGCTGGTACCGTGTCGGGTGTTATACACACTGAGGGGTGAGCAAGGGGGCCAAGCCTCTGCCCTTGGGTTGCATGTCATTGGCTCAGGGGACTCTTACAGAATAAGCAGTTATGACTATTTGTGAGAAAAGTTGGGATGGTGGAAGTATGGGATGCTCTGAGAACACAGAGACCCTCAGATTGCTGCTCCCATGCATTTGAGAGGTATGTCTTTCTTAGTACCCTCAACTCTTAGGTTTGCTTTCCCTTTCCTGTGACCACCTGAAGATTTTCCAATCCTGGGTCTCCGCAATCCCTTTTTATCCATTCTAGTCTCAGACTGCATTGTTGGACCATGTCACAACACTACTGCTCTCTCTCAGCTACTTAGCAATCCTTGTATTTATATCACGTTTACTCCCTAATACATCACTTGAGTGGCTACTCCAGTCCTGTCCCTTCCAATCAACCTCAAATATTTCGTCCTCAGCACACGACCTTGTCTCCCATTTTCCTGAGCAGATTGAGGTCAGTGAGTGAGAACTCCCTCATTCCTTCACCTGTTGCTCCCTGCCAAAACAATATCCTTGCTATGTCTGTTTCTGCATTTGTGCTTCCATATTTCTTTCTTTCCTCCTGACTTAGAGAAAAAGTTAACCTTCCTTCTGAGCTGACCTGTTCCTCTGTGCTGCGGCGTTACTCCTCCTTCCCTACCCAGAATTTCTTCTCTTTCTCTCCCTTTCTTTGGCCGTTGCAGTTTCTCCCTCTGCACTCATTTCTTTTCCAGTTCCAGAATGCATACACAAGTGTTCAACTCAATCTAAAACTATCTTCCTTACCCACTATCCATTTCCTGGTATCCATAATTGTCAGATCTGGTTAAATCAAGTTGCTAATATTGCGCTGTTAGGGAGAATTTTACTCTGTCATCTAAAGGTTCTTTTGGCTGGTCACATAATCGAGTTGTTACAAAACAGATGAATAGAAGAGAAACCAAATTTAATTTTGTACACAGGGAGACCACACATACTTGAGAGGTTCAAAGACAGAAAGGTAAAATGAGGTGTATGTGCCATTCTATATATGGCAAGCCTGGGGCTTCCAAGGATGGGAAGTAATTCACAGGGAGATAAGAAAAAGCACATGTTGGCTAATGAGATGCTTGCCTTGCTATACAGATGGCTCACTCACACAAGAATTTTCTCTGGTACTAATTCTTACCCTGAGAAAGACCTCCAATTTAAATTCTTCTAAGTAGTAATAGAGGTAAAATTCTTTCTTGAGCCTGCAGGATCTCAATTGACTTTAATTTAAAATAATTCATGTGCTAAATGGCACATTTTGGGGAGGTTTGTTCTGAATAAATGCTTGTTCAGTGCTTCACACGTGATGGGCCACCAGGTACAAGATTAATGAGCCAAACCAAAAGAGTTACAATCAAGTCTTTATTCACTTATACTGCAGTGTGGTCAGAAGGCAAAAAAAAAAAAAAAAAGAGAGATACTGGTTCTCCAATATTCCATTTTTCCCATGGAAGGCATCTGGAGAGTGTCAAATGGATTACACAAGAAAATTATTTCACAGAAATAATTATTATTTTTAGAGTAAGCAGAGAAAATGTCACAGCCTTCAAATAAAATGCGTTTTATGAAACCTTGGTCTTGGAATAGAGAGAAAGAAAAGGGCTGGGGGTGGAAAAGTATGGATTCAGAGGGGAGAAAAAGTTACTTAGCCAAGGCTTGTTCCCCCATACGGCCTCCTGGATTAGGAATGCAGGTAGGTGTGTGAGTGTCACTGGTTCACTGCCCCTGCTTTCCAGGACCGTGACTGCTACTCCCTCCAGAAACCTGCAGTGAGGGAACTAGTAAGGTTTTAAAATCAGCTAGAGATTATTTTAACAGTTGGGAAAAATCAGCAATTTAGGAAGAATTTTATAAGAAAACTGCTTGCTTAGTTACCAAATTGCTTAACGTCAGTAGACGTTAACCTGTTCTGTCACCAAAATTATTTTCATCTCTGCTCGGCAAAACTCTTTAACCTTTGCCTCTCAGACTTTATTAAATTGCTCAGACAATAATCAAGTCTAGCATTCCACTGGGGGAAAAAAAATCAGTAATCTCTTTTAACAGTTCCTAAATTTCAAATACTTTTCTGACATTATGAAATGTGGTTATTCTGACCTACCTCACAGGATTGTTGTCTTAAATATGTTATATATTAAGCCTGTACAGATTATGTAGTGATCACTCAGATGCCAAGTGCTATTATTAAATTGTCATTATTCCTCCTCCATAACCTTTGCAATCTGATTATTCTATACGATTCAACTGAAATATTGTTGGAAAGGACATGCTGTACCTAAGATAATTGGCCTATGTGTGGATATCACTATTGTTAATCTCCCTAGCATTTGGTCCAGTTTACTATTTCCTACTTCTTGAAACTTTTTCCATCTTTGGTATCTTTTTCCTCATTCTACTTCCTTCTCACTAAGTCATTTTTCCTGATTCATGTTCCTCCTACTAGCGTTTAAATGTGAGCACCCCTGCAGTGCTTCAACTTCCTTCATGTCATTCTCTCCATTCTTCAGTATCTCATACAGGTAACTCATATTCCCTCCTAACCTAAGTTAGACATATTTTCAATTACATTTGGGAAATTTCTACCTGGATATTTTATCAGCACTTTAAACCAAACACATTTTATTAACACAGTTCCTGGCTTCAGTATTATTGTTATTTGATTTCTGAGATGCAAGCCATATCCTAAGACATTCAGGCTTGAAACTCTTCACTGTAACTTTTGGCTTATTGTTCTCCTTTATTTCCTATATTTAATCAGTTGCCTTAAAATAACCTCTCACACTGTGGTAGACTGCTACTTTGGTTGCCCCAAAGGAACTATGCATCTAATATTCAGGCCTTTTATAGATGGGGGCCATCTGCCCTAGAATGCAGACTTTGTCTATAGAGAATTTAAAAATAATGATAAAATCAACTAACAGTTGGTCTGCTTTCTGTTATCACCTCTCCTTTAATATTAAACCATGTTAGCAATCACAAGCTTCTCCCTACTGGAGTGGACTCCTGTTGCTTCCCACTGGGTATGCATGTTTTTGTATTTATTCTGGGTTTAACTTTTCCTGATGGATCATCAACAACCATGGTGCATTCAAAGGCTTGCTAACACCTTCACACTGGACCTTGCCTTCCTGAAACGTTTGCTTTGGCTGCTCCCTGTTATCACTTAGCCACCATGCTGTAAGAAGCCCAAGCCACATGATGATGCCATGTGGAAGGCACTCAAGGAGCTCTGGTCAACAGTCCCTCCTGAGTTGCCAGTGCTTTATAAATCTAACAGAGTCTCTTCTAGTTACATTGCAGACCCAGTAATGATCTCAAATTATGCATCCCTCCAAACAATGCCTATACAATAGTAAATACAAACAGCATCAAAAACAACCAATATAGTTATATTCTGAGAAATACAGCTGCAGTAAATTGAATTTCTTTTAGTCAACACCAGTTATCTTATGGAACAATATAAAATATTACCAGTAACTGGCAGGAAGAAAATGAGGGTTTTCTAAACTTTAACTGACTTCCTGAAATATAAAGGCAGAAGTTAAAAGTTTTCAAAATAACAAGATTTTTATTTTCCAATGTAGAATTCAAAATTTAGCATTTGGGAGGCTCTACAAAGAAGTGAGCAAACTTAGTGACTTTAATACTACTTATGGTTTAAAAAATTATAAATTATGTTGATAAATAAAAATATACTACACTCAGACGTTCATAGATTTTAAACCTCAATTAATGCAATATTGATTGAGCACTGAATTGAGTGCTGTGATATCAATGTATGAAGATAAAACAACATGCAGACCCTGCCCTCAAGAAAACTTTAATCTTTTGGGAAATTGGACATATGCATTTATGAAGTTAATAGTGTAAGTGATAAATAGTAACGTGGTGAAAAGGAAAAAGATAATTCTCAGAATTATATGTTTAAGTGCCCAATAAAATATATGAAGAGAAGTGCCAACAATTTGGAAAGATTAATTTTGCAGGGGGGTTCATGTGGAGAAATAGAGGTAAAGTATTGGAATGGTTGAGTATATGTCAGATTGTGAAATATCATGCACCCTTTCTGTTTATCTAACATATCAAAAATTCTAATTTTAACTGTGTAGCCATGTAAAACTAAAAACTCTGCATATTTTCATATTTAAATATATAAACAGGCATTGTTTCCCCTTTTAATTAGAGTTTCAAGCAGTCCAGAAAGTTGCTTTAAATAGATCACTCATTGATTTTGTGGATTATTATTAATGGGCTCTTTCCATGTGATAAGCATTCTGTGAGGAATGGGGGATGTAAGAGTAAAGGAGACAAATACACTTGCCTTCTTGGAGTCAAGACTCTAGAGATAAGATAGTTAAAACTAGTCCTTGTAATACAATGGGCTATAATGGGGTAAGGTATTATATAAGCAGAGAAAGGTAAAATCAGCTTTGATAAAGGAAGATCAGGGAAGGCTTGCTGAGAATGAGGTAACAGAGACCTGAAGGTAATTGGGAGTTAGTCAGAGAAGGAGATGCAGAGGAGTTTTATGCAAGAGCTTAGAGATTAGAGAGAGAAAGAGAGTTTTGAAGAACTGAAGTATTATTAGAACAATCTTTAAAAAAAAGTGAAAATATCAATATCAGTCTACCTACCTATCTTTCTGTTGAGTGATATAAAAATTATATGACATTGTAGCTATTTTAATACAAAGTTGATGGTTGAGAAAGAGAAAGTATTGTATGAATGGATATCATGCTCTTAAGTCTGTAAACTTGCTCTGGTTTGCCCAGTTCAATAACTAAACTAACATTTACTCAGCAAGTCAGTAATTGTGATTACTGCTTGGTGCTTGGTGAGATGGATGTTGAGATAAAAAAGACATGGACTCAGCATCCAGTAGTGGAAGAGACACATCGTGGGTAAATTGAATGTTGTGCTGAATGCTGTATGCTAAAAGCTTGTATACTGGATTCTGAACAAACAAGGCTGCAGGACAGAGGAGGGCACTTCACTTGGCCTCAGAGGATAGGAGTGACTTGCCGGAAGGCTGATAACTGGGCTGGGCTGAGCCGTGAAACTGCTCCATTCAGTATTTTTTATTATGAAATCATATGAAAGCCTAGAAATCTACAAAGAGCAAGCTTTATGAGTGCCAGCAATGAATTAACCTGTATGATCAGCATACCTAAAACAGAAAACACTAAATATGTCTTGATTCAATGATTGAGACAGCTTTATTATACTTACGAATGAAAGCCAAAAATGTTAATTAATACCAGTTAAAAAAACACAAAACTTCACAGGTTGGAATAACTCTCCTTAGTAATAGGACATTTAATAGTGAAAAATATAATAGGCAAATTAAAAGACGCTTACTCCTTGAAAGGAAAGTTATGACCAACCTAGATAGCATATTAAAAAGCAGAGACATTACTTTGCCAACAAAGTTCTGTTTAGTCAAGCCTATGGTTTTTCCAGTGGTCATGTATGGATGTGAGAGCTGGACTGTGAAGAAAGCTAAGTGTCAAAGAATTGATGCTTTTGAACTGTGGTGTTGGAGAAGACTCTTGAGAGTCCCTTGGACTGCAAGGATATCCAACCAGTGCATCCTAAAGGAAATCAGTCCTGGGTGTTCATTGGAAGGGACTGATGCTGAAGCTGAAACTCCAGTACTTTGGCCACCTCATGTGAAGAGTTGACTCATTGAGAAACGACCCTGATGCTGGGAGGGATTGAGGGCAGGAGGAGAAGGGGACGACAGAGGATGAGATGGCTGGATGGCATCACCAACTCTATGGGCATGAGTTTGAGTAAACTCCGGGAGTTGGTGATGGACAGGGAGGCCTGGCGTGCTGCGATTCATGGGGTCTCAGAGTCGGACACAACTGAGTGACTGAACTGACTGACTGATACTGAGTTCATATAATCAAATGTCTAAGGACAAGAGGGAAAAGATCATATTAAAATGGCAATACCGTCTCAGAATGAGTTCACATATGTCAGAAGTAAAGACCGAATTTAGATGGGAATAAGAGTGCAGTGCATGTGTACTCAGTCATACCCAGTTCTTTGCAACCCCATGGACTGTAGCCGCCCAGACTCCTCTGTTCGTGGGATTATCCTAGCAAGAACAGTGGACTGACAATTCCACTGGTCTCATTGCATTTTTTGGAATCTCTGGATAATTGTTTATGGTTCTTAGTACAACATGTAGAAGAATGGCTGTGACAAACTTGCCATTTCTCCATATTTGGAGAAAAACTGTTGTCAGGGGATATTTAATTTTAAAGAGTTCTATATGTTGTTTTTTGTTTTTCAAGGGCCCTCTGTTTTTTATTAGTTTTTGGAAAACAGGAACGAGCAGAGCTGTATGTAGTTCTCAGGACTGAGGTCATGAGATGGAACACATATGTGGATTCCTTTCAGTAACCTTTTACTTTTCTGTAAAACTACTTAGTTATATTCCTATTTCCAATTGTCTGCTGGCCCTTTGACGATTGTTATTCCCCTAGTTACTGTTGTTATGGCCCTATGACTATTGTTATTTCCTTAGTTACTGTTGTTATGCATCTGGTTTTGGTGTTTTTGCTCAACTTTAATTTTTGCCTAAAGCTTCCTTGTATAACAATATATAGGCACACACTGCCATGAATAAAGCACCCTTGTTTCACTTGGGACTTGGGTCCCCTGCGTCCTTCTTTTCGTCGCTTTCTCTTCGTTGACTCCAGTCCCCAGGTCCTGTTGTGTAAAGGCCATAACAAGTGGTGCCTGAACAGGGACCTGGAATATGCCCTTTGCAAGTGGATGGAGTGACTGTGGACCTTGAGTTTGGTAAGTGCAGGGTTATGGGACAAATGGCTGGAGAGCACCACCACTTTTCTACTTTGCTTCATTATTTATTTAAAGTTCAAAGACTTTTGGTTTCGTGTCAGTGAATAGAGGCTTGTCTCCAAACAGTGGTTAAACATAATCCCTGGTTCCCCAATGAAGGCAGTTTCAATTTAGAAATTTGGAACCGGGTTAAAGAAAATGTTGAATGAACCACTAGACAGGGAAAAAATATTTCAATAGATTTCTGGCCCATATGGGCCCTCATTAAAGCCTTGATTTTACCATTTCAAGGAAATGCTAGCCCCCTGATATTCAACAACAGGCAGAACACTTGTTACATGAATATGAATTAGATGATGAAACTTTACAAAAGGCCCAACTAGAACAACATGAAATATTTCCGAATTTTCCCACCAGCTCTGCTGCTCCTCTTACAATGGGCGCCAAACCGAAAGTTCCTTCAATTCATGGACAAGATGACTCTGACAAAGGCTCTTTTTGACACTAAAGCTGACCATACTTCTTTTGATGACAATGATAAGCCTTTAACACACACTCATGTTGGTAAGAAAAACTTTTTATTCATTCTCCTTCACGATGAAAGCTTTATGGGTTACTAGACTGGGACATGGAAAATGAGTCCTTTCTAGCATTCACCACGTCACACCTGCCCTTGGCCGAACAAAACCTTGCCAAATATAAACTCCGAATAGTTGAGCCACCCAACTCTGATAAAGATGGGTCAGATTTTGAGCCCAACCTATGGATGTGGATAAACCCCAACGTCATGTTTCCTTCTGAAAAGCTAAAAGTCAATAAAACATGAAGACAACTACACAAAAATATTTTAAGGACCTAATGAAGCCTTTGCTGATTTTTTAGCTAGATTGGATGTTGCTATTTCCTGTAGTGTTATCAGAGAAAAAGCCAAAAGGCAGCTAGGAAAACTGCTTACTTGTGAAAATACAAATCGGAAATGTCAAAAAGCTACCGCTCCAATTCGTGAGACTGAGACTATTATTGATTATTTGAAGGCTTATCACAATTTAAGATCAGAAACTAAAAAAATGCAAATGTTAGCTAAAATAATGGCTGCTACCTTTAAAAAGGGAAATGAAAAATGTTTTACATGTGGAGATAAGACCCATTTAAAAAAAGATTGTCCTAAAAGGCACACAGAAAAAATTAAGACTGTTTAAAAACCTCCAAAAATTTGCCCTCGTTGCCGTAAGGGGATACTTAGGGCCAGAGAATGTCGATCTAAATATGATGCTGAAGGGAAGCCTATTTTGAGAAACTCCAAACTGGGGACTCCCCAGGTCCCCATCAACAAAAACCAGGGACAAACTCCATCTTTTCCCTCAAACCCTCAACATCAGGCAGTGCTGCTGTCAATATACAAGCCCTAACTGATTTTCTCCTTTTTCCTCAAGCAGTCCCTTCTAGAATAGCTATCAGACGTTTTGGACCCCTACCCCCACAAACTTTCAGTCTTTTACTTGGCCAATCTAGTTTGACTTCTAAAGGAATTACTGTTTACCCTGGAGTAATTGATTAAGATTATAAGAAAAAAATTCAAATTATGATGTCATCTCAGATACTATGGCAATTCAAAAAGGGGGACAAAATTGCTCAATTACTTCTTTCACCTTACATTTCTATTAATTCCTCTAATGATGTACAGACAGATGGATTTGACAGTACAGATCAAAAACAATCCTTATAGATATAAATAATATCTGAATATACATGACCAGATATAAATATCAAAATTAATGGCAAAAAATTTTCTGGTCTTCTTGATACTGGATCCAATATTACTATCATTTCCAAACATTTATGGCCCAATCTTGGCCTGTACAAAAAATTTCTTGCCAAATTATAGGAGTTTCTCAAACCAAAGTACAAGAGGTTTATCAAAATGTCCAAATATATCCATGTGAGGGACCAAAAGGCCAACCTGCAATATTATGACCTTATGTGATAGATACACTCCTTAATTTAATAGAAAAAAAGTTTACTTATACAATGACAAGCTCAAATATGTATTCCACCTTTTTCCTAGGGGCTACTGCTCACTTAACAAACAATACAATTATGAAAATAACTTAGAAAACTGACAAGCCTATTTGTACACAGCAATGGCCCCTTACAAAAGAGAAACTAGAAGCTACTAAAAAACTTATCAATACACAATTAAAACATATTGAGGAATCGTATTCCCCTTGGAATTCTCCCACTTTTGTAGTAAAAAGAAAAATCTAACAAATGACATTTCTTAACAGACCTTAAAAAAGTTAATACATCTATAAAACTTATGGGTACATTACAACCAAAAATTTCATCACCTACCACTACTCCTCTAAACTGACATATTATTATTATAAATTTACAAAATTGCTTTTTTTTTTTTTTTTACTGTACCTTTATACCCTCCAGACTGAGAAAGATTTGCTTTCTCTCTTCCTTTTCCTAATCATATCGGGCCTCATAAACGGTATCAATGGACTGTATTGCCTCAAGAAATGATGAATTCTCCCACCATGTGTCAATATTATGTAGCCAAAGCCCTTAAACCTGTGAAAAAACAAATTCTTGACTTTCTTGTTATTCATTATATGGATGATATATTGCTTTCAGCTCCATCTGTTTTAAAAACTCAACATATGTTTGACATAGCTCAACTATGCTTAAAAGACTCTAGATTAATTATTGGCCCTGAAAAAATTCAAACCTCTACACCTTACCATTACTTATGATCTATTGTTAATAGACAACATATTACTCCCCAACTAACACAAATTCATGTTGATAAATTATCAACCTTAAATGATTTTCAAAAACTTTTAGATGATATAAACTGGATTAGACCCTCTTTAGACATTACAAATTATCAACTGACTAATTTATTTAATACTTTGAAAAGAGATCCTGATTTAAATAGCCCTCATTCACGTTTACAAGAGACACAAGAAAAACTCTATTTGGTACAAAATAAATTACAAAAACAATTTCTTACTCGTATTAAACTTAAATTACTTGTAGAGTTGTTTATACTCCCCTCTTTCCATTCTACCACTGGACTTCTTGCCCAACAAAAACATCCAATAAAATGGATCTATATCCATTTTAGAAGGACAAAGTCACTTATGTCCTATCTTGATTTGATTGCTCTAATAATTATCAATGAGAAAAATAAAACTAAGACTTTAATTGACTCCGATCCTCATAAAATTGTGTTACCTATTAATAAAGTTCAATTTGATAATACATTACAAACTTCTACTGATTTCCAAATAGGCTTCTTAGACTATTTTAATTTCATTATCACTCTAATAAACTTTGGAGTTTCTTCAAAAATACTAAATTTATTATTTCTCACATTGTTACATCACAACCCGTACCTCAAGCTGGTGTTTTCTATACAGATGGGACTAAAAACACCAAAGCCTCATTTTGGTCTCTCAAAAAATATAAAATCGTTTATACTAAATCTCACTCTGCTCAACAAAATGATTTATATGCTCTTATTCAGGTTATTCACCTACATCCTCACCCTATTAATATAGTTTATGACTCCTCAATTCAGTTTTTGTATTAGAAAATATAGAAACTTCTACCATAAATTCTAATCAATCTATTATTCAACAACTTTTTTTTGAATTATAGTCTATTATTAGGGACCACACTTCCCCCATTTATATTACCCATATTTGAACACATTTCAGCCTTCCCAATCCTATGACTAATGGTAATGAACAAGTTGATAAACTTATTTCTTTTGCTGCTCCTGAAAAACAACATGCTCTGTTACACAATAATGCTGGCTCGTTACACCAGATTTTAAAAATTCCATACCGCCGTGATAAAAAAAATCATTAATAATTGCTCTACTTGTAGACTTCTACATCTTTGACCCATTACACAAGGTATCAATCCTCAGAGATTACAACCCAATAAATTATAACAAATAGATGTGACTCATTGCCCTGAAGTCTATCTTCTTTTTTACATGTCTGTATTGATACAAATTCTTTTATATGGGCCATACCTCTTCAAGGTGAAACTATGCAACATATTATAACCCACCTGTAAGCTTACTTTCCAATAATGGAAACTCCTAGTTCCGTAAAAACAGACAATGGCCCTGCCTATATTTCTAGGCCATTCAAACAATTTTTACAGTCTTTTTCTATCAAACATATTACAGACGTTCCTTATAATCCACAAGCACAAGACATAGTTGAACGAAAACATCACATAGTAAAACTACAAATAAAAAAAAAATTAAAAAGGGGGAATACACAGGAACAATTCTATCTTCCTTATCCAGAACAGACTTTACTATATTCCAATGCAAGATATTCTTTAATCCTATAACTACTGTTAATAAAGCTTTATTTGTTTTAAATTTTTTAAACTTACCACAAGGAGATATCTTAAAGAGAGTAGAAAAACATTTCAAGGAATTGAAGGACACTTCTCTTCCTCTGCCCATTTGGTATCAAGACGGGCTAACTAAACAATGGAAATCTAAGAAATTAATCTTGAAAGGAAAAGGGGTATGCTTTTATATCTCCAGATGGATCCAATGAACTCACCTGGCTTCCTCTTTGGAAGATCCACCCCAAGGAAGTCTCTGGCATTTAAAATAAAGATGAAACCAAAAAACCCCTAGGAGGAAGAAATTCTAATACAGGTCATGGTGGCTCTGAAAATCTCCAAGAAGTACCACCCTCGGCGTCATCGACCTCATGATCTCCCTACTTGGGGGCAGATAAAAACCCTTACTAATCAAGCTGAAAATCTGATTTCTCAACAGGGAATGCCTTGGAATCCAGAAAATATTTTTGTTAATATGCTTGCTTTTGCTTCCCTCACTCAAACTGAATTAATTAACCATACTTATTGGGCCTATATACCTAACCCCCTTTTACTGCAGGTGTTTTGGACAATGGACTGGTGAAACCCATCCTTATTATAAAAATGTCTCAGAACAACTGGGAGCTGGTGGTTGACTTTCTCTCTTACAAGCTTTCCCAGAAAGGATACAGCTGGAGTCAGTTTAGTGATGTGGAAGAGAACAGAACTGAGGCCCCAGAAGGGACAGAATCAGATATGGAAATCCACAGAGCCATCAATGGCAACCCATCCTGGCACCTGGCAGATAACCCTGCGGTGAATGGAGCCACTGGCCACAGCAGAAGCTTGGATGCTTGGAAAGTGATCCCCATGGTAGCAGTGAAGCAAACCCTGAGGGAGGCAAACGATGAGTTTGAACTGAGGTACCGACGGACATTCAGCGACCTGATGTCCCAGCTCCACATCACCCCAGGGATAGCATATCGGAGCTTTGAACAGGTAGTGATGAACGGGGGTTGCATGTGGCCTTTTTCTCCTTCAGTGGGACACTGTGTGTGGAAAGTGTAGACAAGGAGATGCAGGTATTGGTGAGTCGAATCAAAACTTGGATGGCCACTTACCTGAATGGCCATCTAGAGCCTTGAATCCAGGAGAATGGCGGCTGGGACACTTTTGTGGAACTCTACAGAAACAATGCAACAGCTGAGAGCTGGAAGGGCCAGGAGCACTTCAACCGGTGGTTTCTGACGGGCATAACTGTGGCTGGTATGGTTCTGCTAGGCTCGCTCTTTAACTCATAGTAACTATTCCTTTCATTATAATCATTCATGTTTCACATAAGCTTGTGTTCCTCTTCCTTTTGTTATAACTATAGAAAACTTACAATTTAATAAGACTTTAAGTTCTGTGACTTATATAGATTACAAATTGTATACTTGTCTTAATTCACCTGTTTCTTTAAAAAATAAATCCCTTTTGATTCTTCAGTTTCAACATAATCTGTGGTTACCAGTAGATCTCCAACGATCCTAGGAAGAGGGTCCCGTGGCAGGACTTGCCTTCCGGCTACTGACTAAATTACTCTGGCCATCTAAACAATTCATTATATGGTTAATTCTTGATATTTTGGGATTAATAGCCATTTTCACCACTGCTGCTATCACAGACATTGCTTTACAAACCTCAATTCAAACACAAAACTTTATTCAAAATTAGACCAAAGATGCTCATACTATGTGGGCCACTCAGGCTCAGATAGATGAGAAAGTTCAAGATGAAATACAAGAACTAAAAACAGCCATCGATTGGGTCAGAGATCAATTGATAGATTTACAAAAACAAGTAATACTGAAATATGATGGAATTCTACTCAATTTTCTATTACCCCTGTTTGGTTCAATTTTAGTGCCTACAGCTGGAAACAAATCAAATTTCACTAACAAGACATACATGATAATGCTTCCATAAGTGCACAGTTATTACAAAAGAAAATCTTTGAAACCTTCTCTAAAAGTCTGCCCTCTTCCAATAATTTGAAAACTTTAGCTGAACAACTAGCTGATCAATTATCTGGGCTAGACCCTCGAAGATAGTTCTAAAATATTACTCACTGTATTGGGTCTGGTGCTGTAACATTGGTAATTGTCCTGGTAATTAGATTTGTTGTATATTGATGTCTTTCAACAAGAATTGTTCAAGCTAAACAAACTCAATTGGTCAGGGCCTTTTTCACAAAAATAATAAAAAAGGGGGAATTGTCAGGGAATGTTTAATTTTAAGGAGTCCTATATGTTGTTTTCTGTTTCTCAAGAGCCCTCTGTTCCTTATCAGTTCCTGGGAAACAGGAGTGAACAATTCAGGACTGCATGCAATTCTCAGGACTGAGGTCATGAGATGGAACACATATGTGAATTCCTTTCAGTAACCTTTTACTTTTCTGTAAAACTACTTAGTCATATTCCTATTTCTAATACATGGATTGTCTTCTGGCCCTTTGACGATTGTTATTCCCCTAGTGCCTGTTGTTATGCGTCTGGTTTTGGTGTTTTTGCTCAACTTTATTTTTTTTGCCTAAAGCTTCCTTGTATAACACTATATAAACACACACTGCCATAAATAAAACACCCTTGTTTCACTCGAGACTTGGGTCCCCCACATCCTCCTTTTCATCGCTTTCTCTTCGTCAACTCCAGTCTCCAGGTCCTGGTCTGTAAAGACCATAACAAACTGTCAAGACAATAAAAGCTTAAAACTAATATGAAGAATGTAGTGTACTATTTTAGCTCTCATATTATGTAGTTCTTTAATATTAGAATATTGTTGTTTTGTGATGGAGAGTTTTCCTCAAGAAGAAAGTATTATTTTGTTAGATTACAGGTGCTGGCTTTCAGTTTGAGAATTCACTATATTTCTATAACTTATGACTTTAGAAGAATAGGAAAGTGATGAAGAAAGTGTGAATATTGCTAATATTTCACTTTATATTTTCTTGTTTTCTATTTGGCTCAAGTACTGATTTATTATATAATCATACATATTCATGCATTGATAGATAACAATAAGTTTAAAGGTTTAAAGTTACTATTTAATAAATTTTGTTAAGGTCAAAGAGAATACACATATTTTTATGACTTGAAGTCTCCCTGTCTCCCCAGAAAATGATGGGACATGCTAGATTGAAAAATAAGCTGTAATCCTTGCTGCTTCTTCTTGTTCAGTTGCTCGGTTGTGTCCAACTCTTTGCAACCCCATAGACTGCAGCATGTCAGGCTTATCATTGCTTCTTAAAACACCTCAAGTGAAAGAGAAGCAGCATTGAGATTGCTCTATTACTCTTTAAGGAATAGATGAGATAATATCCAAAGAGCACGTCCTGTAATAATGGATCAGTGTGGCTATCTCTTGATATTTTCAAAAGTGATTATATAGTAACTTTTTATATAGTAACTATCTATAACCAGTAAAAGTATACAAGGAGTGATAGTAGAACAATCTGTCTGTAAATATTTAATGATAAACATATTCCATTATAGATTAAGAATCTTATTCTTCTGAAGATAAAATTACAAACATTAAAGCATCTTTTCTTTCTGTGATTTGTTAAACTATCAGGATGTTATCAGAAGCAAAGTACGTGTATTTCCTTGAGTTTTTAAATTTCACTTATGTACAAATCAAGCCAAGCTGAGAAAGTTAAACATGAGAATTATGCAATAAAATTATTTAAAATCCTGAGTTCAAAAGATTTGAGCATGCTTCAGGACACAGTGCATGACCTTCATTCCAAGACACAAATGAAATATATTTCATTTTATGGTTTATTTTACCTTGGAGATATTTAAAAAAATATTATAGGGACCATGAGTATATATGGCAAGAAAATGAATATATAAATTAACGAGTAAGTAATTTAGAAAGGCATATAATTCTGGATCATTAAAGTGAAACTTTAACATTGATTAAATCAAAATTTTTGCCCTGTCTTGTATCTGTAACTATACTGTTTTAATACAACTGGTCAAAGACACACACATTTCTTTCTCATTTAAAATTCAGGGCTACCAAATCTCAAGTCCATTTTCATTGCTGCTTAGAAATCCTACTTTAGTTCATTTGCTCTACTATTTCCCTTGATAATTTATATTTCTCTTCTTTTAAACCTCTAATATTTCTTCTCCCATAATCATATACACAAAGCTTTTGTGATTTTATCTGAGATTTTTCTAGTAGTCATGTATGGATGTAAGAGTTGGACTATAAAGAAAGTTGAGCACCAAAGAATTGATGCTTTTGAACTGTGGTATTGGAGAAGACTCTTGAGAGTTCCTTGGACTGCAAGGAGATCAATCCGGTCCATCCTACAGGAAATCAGTCCTGAGTGTTCATTGGAAGGACTGATGTTGAAGCTGAAACTCCAGTACTTCGGCAACCTGATGTGAAGAGGTGACTCATTGGAAAAGACCTTGATGCTGGGAAAGATTGAAGACAGGAGGAGAAGGGGATGACAGAAGATGAGATGGTTGGATGGCATCACCAACATTGATCATCATATCATCAATGGACATGAGTTTGAGTAAACTCCAGGAGCTGGCAATGGACAGGGAGGCCTGGCATGTTGCAGTCCATGGGTTGCAAAGAGTTGGACATGACTGAGCAACTGAACTGAACTGAAACCCTCCAGTTCTACAAATACTACATTCATCCTCTTGCCTTTGCCAGCAAGTCACTAGTTGTAGTAATTCTGTCTTCTTGTACTTTATCAAATATTACCTGTTTGTTGTATTTTTTCCTACCAGCATTAATATCCCACTAGAAACCCAAATTTTTTCTTGTTAATAAAAAAAAAATCCAACTTTTCTTTTTAGCTGTGAAGTAAGAATACTTGAAATTACCCTTCTATCATAAACAAAAAACAGAAAAACCTATAGAAAGCAAACATTTTCAGACATTAGAAAGCAAGCAGCATGAAACTATGATTCCTAAGAAGGAGGAAGATGTTTATCTCTACATAAGCTGGACTCTCCACCTGAAGGTTGTTTCCAGAGTGTAAAGAAGAAAGACAGAACCCAAAGGGGAGATAAAACTGAATTCTGGAAGCCAACACAGGATTTTGAGAGCATTGTGCCCAACAGGAGAGGGGTGCATAGAGAAAGAATGCCAGAAAATTGCATAGGGATTTTTTTCCCTGAGATTTTGGTTGAATACAAATCTGAGAATGTATAGGATAAAACCCTGTGAGGTCAGGAAAGAGCAAATTCTATGGAAAACATCTGAAAGCTGTACAGTTTATAGGTTTACAAAGGGCTGGTTCTCACCAGCCAAAGTGGACAGATGTTATTGAATATATGTGGCATTATAATAGAGAATGTAAATGGGTTGTGACTAAGAAGTGGAATTAAATTAGTACAAGAGAAGTTTTTTTTTGAGCTTTGCTAGAAGAAATTTTAAAAATAGGGCCTTAAAGATCAAACTGGCCTGCAGTAACTTTACTTCCTTCTAGAGAAAAAAGATAAAAGTCATTCAGTTGTAAGAAATACACAATCTAGTATTCAACAATGTAAATGTCTACCATTCAAAGAAAAATTTCTGGGTATGTAAAGAAGCAGAAAATGTGACATAATGTGAAGAACAAACAAAAGCAGATATAAATTCAGAGATGATAATATCAAAAAAAGAACATATCAGCTATTATAAGTATGCTCTGTATGCTCAAAGATGTGAGCAAAAACATGAACATAATGAGGGAAGAATTGGAAAACATAAACAAGAACTAAACGGGACTTCCAGGGACAAAAAATACAGTATCTGAAGTAACATTTCTTTGGATAAAGTTAATAGCGAATATGACATTGGATTTAAATTAACTGATTAAATTAAATCAGTTAATTTCAATGCATGCAACAGAAATTATCCAGGATGAAAACTAGAAAGCAATATGATTGGGAAAAAACACAGAGCCTTGATAAATAATGAGAAAGTATCAAGCGGTTTCTTGATTGAAGTCCCAAAATGAGTGAAATGGGGAAGGAAAATTATTCTTAGAAATAATGGCTGGAAATCTTCCACAT